AGGATCACTTTTCCCTTGGTGTTTGGGGGGAGCCATGGGAGTTCCCAGGTAAGGATAATCAGGCTCAGTGTGCATACGTTCAGAGTTATTTCAGTCTGCCGTACTCTGACGGAAGTGAACCTCGGTTTTCAGACACTGAGAACTCGGCACCCGCCAGCTGTGGGAAGTGGTAGCGTGTGACATTTCAGAAGAAAGGATTTCTTCATGTTTCTTCCTGGCCATGTGACTGTGGCAGAATCCTCTTGATTCAAAGGAAGTTTTAGTTTCTGACTGTGGGTAACCTTCCTTCTGAAGAAGCCAACTGGGAAATGTGAGCCACTTCCCTTGCTGCTCACCTCTCAGACCCAGACCTGTCGCGGTAAGACTTAGGAGGAGCGCTGTTTTGGAGGAAAAGCCCTGAAGGTTTGTGTGCTGTTTATATTGTCTGACGTTACATGAAAAGTGTTTGTTATATGAGACAAAGAGATAAATACTGAATTTACCTGCTAAAAGCCAGTTAATTTAATTGAATTATGCCACTTAGGCTTGATTTGGCAGTTTGCAAGTTGAGAAGAAACGGTGCTTATATAGAAATAAATTCTTGTTGGCTTTTTAATGTGGAGATATGAGCTGAGCATGATTTTGGGAGTCGGGGACTCTGGGTTCCTAATCTCATCTCCGTCACTGGATCTGTTTTTAATTGTAGGCTTGCTGTTTTACTTCTGCCATACTTCTAAAATGCTGATTATTTCTCATGTGCAGAGGGATTGTGCCAATTAGAATATTCTAAAATGGTCTCCATTCTAAGGTTTAAAATTACTCTATTACTTAATGATTGACTAAGCATTATGATCACTTTAAAATAAAAGGGGTTGAGACACCCAACTGCATTTTTGGCATCCTCCATAGGTTATGTTTACAAGTTCATTTTTGATCCTGCTTGCTGGAGAGATGACGTTCTTTGTGGCACTGACAGCATGGGAATACAATGTAAAGTTGTAAGCTGGTTTCTGTTCCGTTTTAACAATGATTTAGCAGCTCTGGGAGAGCGCCAGCTACAGAATATTCGAAACAGTTGACAAATATGTAGGAGTTAAAGTGTGAACAGTAATTATTTTACTCTTTGCAATTAAACGCTTTTTTGTTCCTCCTGTGTTGGGGTTTTGTTTCTATTGTTGCCTGAGTAACAACAAAACAACAAAAAAAACCAACAGGTTGTTTTCAATTATTTTTTTAAAATAAACGCTTCATCTATATTTTAAACACTAAAATAGTTGATCCAGTTATGCAGCGTTGTTGGTTGTAGCTGTGTTGGTCTAAGAACATAGTCAGGCAGGGTTCTTTGGGTAGATGTGATATCTTTTATTAGACCAACTAAATAGTTTTTCCAACTCTTTTCAACTTCTCTCAACTTTTTAGTTGGTCTAATAAAAGATATCATATCTACCCAGAGAACCTTGCCTGCCTTTAAACAATAGTTCAGTAATTGCATCAAGTTATCAAGTTGAACTATTATTAATGGTATGAAATGTATCTCTGTTCTTTTATTGCTTTAACTGTGCTTCTGTTGCTGATGTCACAGTTATTTTCATTCTTTAGAAAGAAATTATTTGATAGGTTGTGGGCTATGATCTTGCAGGAGTGTTTGGAGTTCGAGGTGCTAGGCTAGTAGTCGTATCCAAACTGGAGGCTCAGAATTTAGCTCTCGTGTGTGTTTGTTTTCCTTTGAACACAGCCAAAGAAGTTTCTGTGACTTGGTTAAATCAGTGAAAAATCAGTGAAAATGTATTTCCTCTTTAATTTGAACAGTGTTTGTAGTCTGAACATTGTTACCTTAGGCTTGTACCCAAGAAATAGGATGCAACACTAAATGGAAACCTATCATATTTAGTTTTTCAAGAAGTCTGATGCACAAAAAGTGAAGAGCAGAAAAGATAAGATGTCAACATTAATCATAAAATGCCTAATTTTACTGATGTAGTCCCATTGCCTTAGAGTTAAGTGTGTGTACGTGAATAAATCCTTAAAGTATTAAGAAAAGAAAAACATTTTTTCTAAATATTTTTGTATTTATAACTGTTCTTTCCAATAAACATTTTAGATTTTCTTTTGAGTTTAATTACTTTAACAAGGTCTACTTTCCTGGTTTTCAGTAAATAAACTCATTCCAATTTTAAAATTGCTGGGAAGAACAAAATTATGGTTTTTCTTTAAATAACAACACTGCCAATACATTAACAATTGGATTATATTGGCCAGCCCCCTGTAGAAGTGACTTTTGCAGGGGTGGGAGTGGCATGGAAGGGAAGGACGTAACAATTTAAAGAGAAGAAAACAAGGACCTAATTATAACATTATTCCTACACATTTAGCAGCAAAACAGGGCTGGCCTTTGTCAGAAGATTCAGTGCTGGTTAACACTGTCTCACTGAATCTAAAGCCTCCTTTTCTTGAAAAGCAGAGATGAGAGATTCTTATAAGGCTCAAGTTTTATGTCTTGTTCAGTAATTTTGTTTGCTTTCGGTTACTCTTGTCATATTTATCCAGGAAATCAGTTCTTGAGGGATATGCTTACTAATATAGGAGACCTGAAGGATTGTATCTTCCTGTTGAATGCAAGAGCCTTTGAAGATGTTTGTGTATCTGCCTGCCTTAGGAAGGTGCTTACATATGTTGACAAATGAAAGCTCTTTGCATCGTGCTGTTGATATATAGTACACAGCCCTTCTTTGGGGGGTTTTCCTTAACTTGATGTATTACAGAATTCCCAGAGGTCCTGTGCAGCAGCCCCTCGAGGATCGGATCTTTACGCCGACAGTCTCAGCTGTGTACAGCACTGTAAGTATCTAAAGCCAGTCTACCCGTCCTGAATCTTCAGTTCTGTGTTTGCCTTTTTTTTTTTTTTTCCTCACAAATTAATTTAATTGAGTAATTTTATCCCACTCCTCTGAAATTGCTGGTCTTCAACATATTTTATAAAATTCCATTTTTACCACTTCTAAATAAAGAGCAGTAAATGGGAGAAATGTTGTTCTAAAACTTCATAATGGACTCAGAGTTGGATTTTTTTTTTTTTTTTAACTTCTGCAGTTTTACTGAGCAGAATTTACAAACTTTCTTAAGCAAGCTGTCCTCAGTAAAAATATCAGCCATGTTCTCTGTAGGTCCCTTCTTGAATATCTGGATGGAATGTATTATTTGTGGCACAGTGGTAGAAAGATGCTGATATTCTACAAAAAAAAAAAAAAGTTTCACGTAAATGTTTGTACGTCAAATATCTTATTTAAAGCCATCAGCAGAAGAAGCAACTCTACAAGCAGGTTTAAAAATTGAGAGAGATTTTTGGTGAACTATTTAAAAAATGTTTTGGATGTTGACTAGTAATGGAACTCAGACTGAAAATCTAGAAATGGTGTGCACATATGACAGGATTTTTTAATCTGTGGCTTTTTTTAAGAGGTAAAGCCAGAAGCCCAGTATCCATTGAGCTATGTTATAATTATGCAGCCTGGAATGAGACATTTTAATTTACCAAAGAGTTATTGCAGGAAGTTTTTATTTTTGTTTATACTAATTGATCTTAAGCTCATTATGGTTTGCATGATAGTATGAGCTCCTTATAGAAAAGGAGAGTCAAACTTGCTTTTAATAACTTAAAAGGTTATTTTTCTGTTTATTTGCATGACTAGCTGGTGAAGGGGTCATCATCTGTTTTGTTTTGAGATTCAGAGTCCAAAAAGATTTATTGCCTTTTCTATCTGTGATCCATGATGATGACAGAAAAGAGCTCATGTGCTCTCTCAGAACCTCTCCTCCCAGCTGGGAGACTCTCAGAAAAGAAGGTCCTCTTGCATCAAGCTGGAACGGGGATTGTATCCTGTGTCGCATCTATTCTTGGATTCTTGGGAGTGGGAGAAGATGATGAAAGAACTCAAACATTGTCTAGGATGTTTCTTGAGCTGACTTATGGTGGATACCTATAGATAGATACCAATGTAAACAGTCGGAGAACTAGTCTAAGCAAAGATCAAAGCTTGTGACATTCAGTGGTTCACCAGACTAAAGCTGCAAGCTGTTTGCTGATTCCTGCATTGGCTTCAGAGCCAATTTTGCATTCAAATCAATGAACTGTCCTTGATTGTATACATAATGAAATAAGAAGGGTTGGTGTCAGGAAAAGCAGTGCACGGGGCCTTGAAGCAAGGTTGTGAGCCTTGAATAATACATTGAAAATCCCACTCTAGAGGTCCATCTTCAAAACTTAAAAGGGGGAAAACAACCATGTCATTATGTATTCTGTATAGACAATATAGGAACCCCCAAAACTACTGCATTGTCTTGCATACAGCACCCTCATTCCCTACCCCTCCTACTCCCCCCCCTCCCCCCCCCAAAAAAGACACCTTGGTTTTGGAGAAGACCAAATGCAGGAAAAAAGATTTTTTTCCAGAGGTTTGGTTGCACAGAACAGGGACAGAGCCCAATACCCCCCCAATATATATATATATATATATATATAACACGCTGCACTGTATACCCAATAATTGCTTTTTATTTCTGTGTTTTAATATTTGTACCCTCTCTAAATGTGGAATTGAGGACAAGGTGTATGTATCACTATTTTCAAACCTAGCATGACTGATGTGAGCTTGGCAGCCATGGGAAAAGCAGCTGCACTCCTGTGTGACTAATTCAAGAGTTATGGGTAGTTTTACGACCCACTATAATCTGCCTGATTTCTGAAATTCTTCCTGCACAGTATGGCTGATAATGAGCCTCCTCTCTCTTGGTAGGTCTTCATCTTCCAGTAATCGAGTTCCTCTTTTTCTGCTAATTGTTTGTCTGCTGCCCATGGGAATTTCTCTTCCCTTCGGTTTCACAGCTCTCTGCCCACTGCTCTTAATTGCTGCGCTTGCTCTCCTTCTCAGACCTTGCATTTGAAAGCTTGTCTGACTTTATCAGATCTATGCAATTGGTCCAATAAAAAATATCACCTAAAAAAAAAATCCTTGCCTGTTGCATAATTGAAAGGTTATATGTTCGCAGTACTGTGTACTGATGCCGAGTTGACGCTGCAGTACCTCTGACTAAGTGAGGTCACAGCGGTCTAGCCATTTTGCAGCCTTGACTATGTTTGGAAACGTTAATTGAAAATAGTGGAAAATGTGTATAGCTTGCACTGTAGGCCACAACTGAAATAGCCAAAATGGTGATCCTTCAAAAAGAATTAAAGTGAATTAGTTGGGCACCATTTTTATAGGAGAGAAATGGCAGGTGAGGAATAAGTATATGAATTTAATTGGATGCGTGCTGAGACTTGCTTTTGTAACCTCCAGGAACAAAAAATGACACTAGATGGTTCACCCCAGCACTTAGTTATCCTTCCTTTGATAGACTTTTTATTCAATAGAATTGTACCTGTGGGGATGGGAGTGAGACTGGAATATATCATTAGTAACATAATCGGTAGATTTAGATTTAATCCTTCTCTTTTGAGATAAACTAGTGTTGAAAAAATTGATTTAAATTAGTCTAATCCTCAGGAGTAATGTTTTAATTCATAAAATTTATTCATATAGTTTATTATTAAAAGGGAGAAAATTAGCATGGCATATTGTCAGGTGCAGCAGTTGGCCACATGCAGTTTTTCCTCTATGTACCTTTTTCATAATAGCATTTAGTAGAATTCTTTACTTAATTCATGTCATTTAAGAAAACTACTTATACATCAGATATGACATCCAGAACTGTATAGTCCCATAGGAAACCAGTGGAAAAATCCAGTTTTGTTTTTGTCTTAAAATATTCCTAAATCTAAATGATCCTATTATAGGTGAAAGAAGGGGAAGGAATTTAATTTGTAGTGACTGCAGTGAATACAAGCCTTAAATATCTTGGAGCTTATCCATTAAATTGCTATGTATTACTACTTTTAGAATACGTAATTATGAGTGCTAACTTGTAGTGAAAGACAAACTGTTGTAAATCCTGTAGTAGAGCAGAACATGCCTCCCAGGATTATTAAGTTTAGCATGGGGCATGCATGGAATTCAGAATATATAATGCAAAGTCAGGCCAATAAGCAAATTGATCTAGGTCAACTTCCTGCTCAGTCCTACTCAGTAATGTATTTATTACAGCAGAGATTTATAGTTCTGCTGTAATAAATAAATAAATTGATATGTCCTGAGCTCTGAAACTTACTACAAAACTGCTCCAGGGGAATTGACTTTTTTATTGCTAATGTCATTTGGCTTGTTTTGAGTTAAATATAAATAAGATTTTGCTGAAGAATATTTCTGCCTGATAGACTCCAATAGTTGGGTTTTTAATTAATTTTTGCAGGAAGTTGGTCCCTGATGTGATCTAATCACTATTTGTGAATTAATTCAATACACATTGAAACTGAGTGACAAATGCACGTGAGCCATGTGCAATACGGCCCTTCAAGGGCCAGGCCTGGTTTGTACTGATTCTGAGCCCCAATGGGTTTCTCTTGAGCAGATGACATTGTTGTATCCAGTTGTACCTGGTTGCATGGTGGCTTGTGCTTTAAACTGGAGCATAGATTTGAGAAAACTCTCATTTGTGCTTCTAGTATTATGAGAATTAGAATGTGTATTTTCTTGAGTGAAAGGAAGCAGTCCGATCCTGTGGCACCTCATCTCTTCCTATGTGGAACAGAACATAAAAACCACCCGCTTACTGCGTCAGACGATAGGTCTCGCTAGCCCAGTATCCGGACTTATGTGGTGGGAGTGTGTGGATGCTGAGAGGAGAGTGAAGAAAGCATACCCAGAATTGTCCACCTCCTGCTTCTCTCCCACTGCAGCTCCCAACGCTCAGAGAGCCAAGAAGCCTCATTCAGAGGCTGCATCCATATCTACCACACTCAGTACCTAACTGCAGACCATTCCTCTCTGAATTTTTCCATTCCTCTTTTTGACCTGGTTGAAACCATCAGTGCACACATCTGATGGCAATGAGTTCTACAGTTGGATGCAGTCTGAAAGTAATTTCCTTTTGTTAGTTTTAAACTTACTTCTAAATAGTTTCAGTTTGTGCCCCTTACTTCTAGTATTTTGAGAGATGGTACGTAATGGGTCTCTAATTACTTTCCCTGCATCGCTTAATATTTTATAAATTTCTATTGTGTCCTGCTTCCCTTTCCCCTCCACCTCCCTGCCTCTGCCAGTGACAATCGTCTCAGCTGAAAAGTCTCCTCAAATGAAAGCCCCTCCATTCCCCTAATAGTCCTTCTCTGTACCCTTTCTAGTTTTTCTATTGCTTTTTTTTTTTTTGAGGTGGGAGACCAAAGTTGTAAAGGCCGTATTGATCCTTTCCCATGTGTTCAGGGAGGACAGAAAGCAAGTGGATACTTGGTTGGACAGTGCTGTCTCACTGGAATGGGGTGGAAGGGAAGAGAGGTCTGCATTTCTAGGTGTGTTGTTTAGACAAGCAGATTCTACGGTTGGAGGTAAAACCCACTTCCATGCATTTTGTATTGTCCAAAAGGCAGAAAAGACCCCTATCTAACCTGATGCAAAACAGAGTTAATTGGGGTAAGCTTGATTCTGCTTTTACTTTCATATGCATGCTTGTTTGTTCATTTGGTTGCTTTTCTGCAGGGAGGAATCGCTGATGGACATCCGAGAATTTCACACCCAGCAGCAACACTGTGACTTGCTTTTGTGTCCTTTAGAGGGTATTTCAGCAATGAAGAGAATCCTGTAGAAAAGAGATTATGAGGGATTAGCTACTCCAGCCACTGTGCATTTAAACTAAAGATCTAGGTCAAGAGGCCGATTTTCATTCTACTGCCTAGCTGCTGCTGTGTA